ATCTATCGATCTATCGATCTATCTATCTATCTATCGATCGATCTATCGATCTATCTATCTATCTATCTATCTATCTATCTATCTATCTATCTAAAAAAGGAATAAAGATTCATTGCAAGAAAAGACGCGATTACAATGTTGGTATAGAAAATACTACACTGAAGTGATCTGAAAAATTTAAAAAACTATGGCCGTTCACTGTTCAAGTAATGTTATTCTTCTTGCCATCGAATATTTCGTCGATTCGAAAAGAGAAAGACAAAATATAAAACTTTTATCAACTCAAAACAACTACTCACCTTCGTTTGGCTTGAAAAAGCTAGTAATTTTCTTCATTTCGTCTGATAAAACTGATAAAAACTCTGCCGGAGCTGGAAGTACAAAACACACTGCCGAACGAAGCGAAGGGGTGGCCAAGGCATGGCGTTTGATCAAGGAGCAAGTCGGCCCCAGGGCACAATTACCGCGAAAATTAAATCACAGGAGTTCCACAAAATGCCTGGCCTTTGAAATTCAAGAAAATACAGAGAATATAGCGGAATATAGACGGGAAAATACTTGTTTCAAGTCTTTTTTTTATTTTAATTTTTTTTCTTTTTAGTGCAAAAAGTAGGGGCGGGGGCGCAAAAAAGTGGTGGGGCCGCGGCCCTACCAGCCCCTCCCCCTCCGCGGTCCCTGCACTCTACAAAAAAAATCCTTCCCGGGAGTCCTGAGGTGACCTGTCTGGGGATTGATACATCATTTGCCCAAAGCCACCCTACCCTGCTGAAAAAATACTTAATAGAAGGCAATTGTTCTTATACTACGATGACTACACCAACTACACTAACAACACCAACTACATATACTACACCAACTTCACTAACTACACCAACTTCACATACTACACCAACTACAGTAACTACACCAACTACATATACTACACCAACTACACATACTACATCAACTACAGTAACTACACCAACTACACTAACTACACATACTACACCAACTACATATACTACACCAACTGCACATACTACACCAACTACAGCTACTACACCAACTACAGCTACTACACCAACAACAGCAACTACACCAACTACACTAACTACACGAACTACAGCAACTACAGCAACTACAGCAACTACAGCAACTACAGCTACTACACCAACTACAGCTACTTCACTAACTAGACCAACTACACTAACTACACCAACTACACTAACTACAGCTACTACACCAACTACAGCTACTACACCAACTACTGCTACTACACCAACTACAGCTACCACACCAACTACAGTAACTACAGCAATTACATCAACATTCTCATAGTGGGCTTAGTGGTCACTTAATGTCTCTATATTCGTGACGGTTATCATGAACCCATTACCTCAATTCGATCTATTTTAATGCTCATTAAAAGCCCCAAAGAAGAGAATAAGATAAAGGGATTAAAACTGGGGTACCTCAGCTTGTCGGAGAAAAATATCATAAGTTGAACACTGGAATCCATGACTGCATGGTTCCTCTTAAAGAAATAAATAAATACAGTGAAACAAACAAAATCTACTTTAAAATCAGTTTATTGTCAATAATGTCTAATTCTTACTTTGAAATTATTCACTGCCTACTTTAATGGGAAAACCATTTTGTGGTGAAAAAAAAAATAGACCAAGGACCACAAATTCAAAAAGTTAAAAGTACATCTTTATCAAATAGGTTTGATGATCGTTAATTTATAAAATAAATTCAAAACACTGTTCATTGTCAACTTATGAAGATAGTCCTGCAATCACACAGATGAAGTGGTTGAAGTATCAAGATCTGATGCTTGAGCATTAAGGGCCCATTCAGGAATTTCAGGAGGGTCACGTTCTGACGGCTCCGTACAGTTCTAGGCACAATCCTGTCACGTGCCCTCTTAGGCAGCCTCTTGTTATACTTTTTATCAAGCTGCTTTTTGATTTTTCGCAGAGCTGTGCTCTCCCAAGGGAGCTTTTTGATCTTATAACTGGTTAGTGCCTCCTTGCCATCTTCGTCAGCTTCATAACAGCTATCCTCGCTGCTCATTGTCTCCATCAGGAGGACCTCTTCTTCCATTCTCATGGTTGTCGCCCCATTTCACCATTTCTAGGGCAGCTGTCCTCCTTGTTAACTTCTAAAAGAAAGAAACAGAATAAGAGTAGGTGGTGGGCCAGAACTCATTACAATACAATCCAACTGATTCCACCATTGGATATGTAACAAAAGAGTATAATTAGATGAGACTTAAACAATATCCAGACTAATCTCTCTTATTATTCTGTACATCACAAAAATTAAATCTTATAACAAATTGTTGTTTTTTGAATGAAAAGATATGGTCAGTAGATATGTTATTTACTGCCTTTTCAGAGATAACAAGCCACTTAAACCAACTAAGCATCCAAGGTTTACATCAGGTTACTCTAAGAAATCATGCAACATGCGTGTCCTCCTTTTATGATCTTCATATTTTTCAGAATTTTTCAGTCTTCTAGTCTCATTTAATGACTGAAAATATCTTTGTAGAGCAGCTGTTGTAATGGTAAAGTAAGGTGTCTAGCATTAGCACAGGCTTACATCAGTACAGGGGACTGTATTCTAGGAAATGATGTATTGTAGGGGAACCAATTACTCTAACTTATAAAATTCAGGGTGCCCAGCAAATAAAACAATTAAGATTTTCTTGTTTGCTTAAGGACAAAGGTAATTCATCACTTATAAACACTGCGGCCAACCTGTCAATGTTTTACAAATGATATGAAGCTACCACTGGATGGTTAAAATCTTAATTGATGTTATATTTATATTATATCACGTGATCTGTTCCAAAATTAAAATAAACAGGAGATGGCCTAAATTTGTCCGACTTTAATGATGTGTGACTATTATACATATGAATACAGGTAAATTTACATTAAGCAGTCCCACTTTCAGGCTGTTTAAATGGTCACTTCTTAAAACAATTAGCATACCGCTGCACTAAATGAAATTGTGCATTCCTTGTAATGAACTGTTTTGTTGTTGTCTTTTTTTCTCTCTTCATCTGGAGGAATGGAAAACTCCTTGAGGTAGTTAAGGATTAATCCCTCGCTACTCTCACTCACTACTGTATCTTTCTAGTGTTTTTGTTAATGTTCCTTAAAGCGTTTTGAACCTGTATTAAATGGGTCAAACTAACCGGTCATTTAGCCCCTTCCCAAAGGGTGACCACAGCACTTGTAAAGGTCGGACTGTGAATTGCCTTATGTGAATGACAGTGTACCTTCCATCACGGCCCTTGTCTATGGACACCTTTCCTCTCCTCCATGTTGGTGTAACACTTGGGCTATTACTCTTTGGAAGATAGTAGCGTTGTTGTAAGAGCTTACTCTAAAAAGATATATCACCAAAGCAAAGTCACTTTCTTGATCTTTGATACATATTGTCTCTTTGGCAGGTATCAGGTACATATTATTGGCATCAATGTTCAATGACACTGGCATTTTGAACTTCTGAAGGAAATTCTTTTTAACCCTTTAACCCCTAGCAGCGACCAGCATTAAATTTCTCCTTACAGTATCACAGACAAATCAAACAGAATAAACTAAAATGATCACCAATGAACAGAGAACAATAAACTAGAGCTAAATTGGGTTGGTAGGCATAATACAATGGGTGCTATTGTCATTCATGAGGTGGAGGTGTTCACTGTTGACCCTTCCAAGTTCTGTAGTGGCTTCCAAAGAAACATCCTGAGGTACTAATAAATCCTCCTGTCATTACTATTTCAGTTGGTTTTTATTTTATACTACATGTAATTGACCTGTTCCAAATCTGCGTAGATTCCCTCCAGGTGTAGCTTACCATTGATGTATGTGCAGTAATTTACTTTCTCTTCAAATTATAACTTACTTGGTTTTTTAAGTGAAGCTAAGACCTGTTTGGTAGTTAAATTAAAATTTGATAGATGTTTATTATACTTACTCTTCATCAAGGTAGAAGCCGTGAAAGTCTTCCTTTTTAGAAAGGACCTTGTATATTTGCCTTAGTGTTCTCTATAAATGAAAGAAATCACATCCCTTTCTCAGTTTGACAATAATATGCTGGTCAAAAGACATCCCAGGTTATGACTCTCGGGGACAGGAGCCAGAATTTAGCATTAAAAATTCAGATGTCTGCTTTGGTTTCGTTTTGATGTCATTTATGTCTCACTCAAAAAACAGTGGGCTTCAAAAAATTAACTCCTGCAATGCAAAAAAAAAAAAAATGACGTTCCACGCTTATTGTCACCACCTCATATGCCCATGTAATGGTACAGTAATTTATTACATGCATACATTTTTTGTGGCGGCCGAGGTAGAAAATACAAATGAAATCTTCCTTAATCTTGTTACACAAATTTCTTCCTTGTCTATTGAAACCGTGCAGGTTTTTTTCTCAAACAAAGAAATAAGTAAAATGAAATAAAAGTGACCTATTCAGCCTAAAGTGTCACGAGTGTTGTGTATCTGACCGAACGATAGTAATTTATGCAGGATTTGCGCGCCAAAACCATTCAAACCAATTTTACGCCTCATTCTGCATGTCCAATGCAGCTAGTTTGTAGGCTTGTCCCTCCACCTACTTCAGTCATTTCAGTTTTGTAATGTATAATTTTCATGTAATTTTTTTATAGCAAATCGTCTTTGCGTCATTCGAAAGCACGTTTTTTTTGATACTTACCCTGCATGCCACAGGAAAGGCAATTGTATGAGCGGCAGCCCTGCGTCTGGAGCGATGTCTTTCGCCAGGAGCTTCTCGCTCATTTAACCTTTGCTCAATCCCTTGCAGGACTTGTGTTTGATTTCTTCTAGCTGCCTCGTGTTCTCGCCGCAGCTTCTCATTTTCTGCGGCGAGTTTTCGGTTACTTTGTATTAGTTCCTCTAGCAGCACAACACAATCTTCAGCCGATCGACCTTCCATAGCGAACCGATCTCTAGCTGCACAATAACAATAAAAAATTCCGAAGAACTACAAGCTTTCTCGCTGTACATTCAGCTGTACAATAACAATTATAATTTCCGAGAAAAAAAAAAAGTATTGATGCAAGCCGTAAGCGCTAAGGATCTAGCCTTTTGAAACCGACAAACGAACTCTCAACAGTTGAAGACGAAGGAGTTTAGAGGATTTGCCCGCTATTTTTCGAATATTTTTATATTTGGTCCCCTGTTGCGCCCGCGCCTCGCTCTGGAGAGGTACTTTAAGTAGGGTTATTAAAGTGTATCAAGAATGCATTTAAAATAATGTATTGACATGTATAAGCCTTGTACTGCCATGTACTGCCATGTATTACCATGTATAGCCATGTAATACCATGTATAGCCATATATTGCCATGTATTCCCATGTATTGCCATGTATTGCCATGTATTGCCATGTATAGCCATGTAATGCAATGTATAGCCATGTATTGCCATGTATTACCATGTATTGCCATGTATTACCATGTATACCCATGTATACCCATGTATAGCAATGTATAGCCATGTATTACCATTTATACCCATGTATACCCATGTATTGCCATGTATTACCATGTATAGCCATGTATTACCATCTATACCCATGTATACCCATGTATAGCCACGTATTACCATGTATAGCCATGTATACCCATGTATAGCCATGTATTACTATGTATACCCATGTATTGCCATGTATACCCATGTATAGCCATGTATACCCATGTATAGCCATGTATTACCATGTATACCCATGTATAGCCATGTAATGCCATGTATAGCAATGTATAGCCATGTAATGCCATGTACGGCCATGTATAGGTACGTGTTACCATGTATTGCCATGTATTACTATGTGTTGCCATATACTGCCATTTATTATCGTGTATTACCATGTATTGCCATGTATTACCATTTATCGCCATGTATTACCATGTATAGCGTCGTATTGCCATGTATAACCATGTATTACCATGTACTGCCATGTATAGCCATGTATTGCCATGTATTCCCATGTATTACTATGTATTAGCATGTATCGCCATTGTATTACCATGTGTTGCCATGTATCGCCATGTATTACTGTGTATTTCCATGTATCACGATGTATTACCATGTATTGCCATGTATTACCATGTGTTATTATGTATCACCATGTATTTCCATGTATTACCATGTATCGCCATGTATAGCCATGGATTGCCATGTATTGCTATGTATAGCCATGGGTTGCCATGTATCGCCACGCATTACCATGTGCTGCCATGTATCGCCATGCATTACCATGTATTGCCATGTATTGCTATGCATAGCCATGTATTACCATGTACTGTCATGTATAGGCATGTATTTCCATGTACTGCCATGTTTTACCATGTATTACCATGTATAGCCATGTATTACCATGTATTGCCATGTATTACCATGTATCGCCATNATTCCGAAGAACTACAAGCTTTCTCGCTGTACATTCAGCTGTACAATAACAATTATAATTTCCGAGAAAAAAAAAAAGTATTGATGCAAGCCGTAAGCGCTAAGGATCTAGCCTTTTGAAACCGACAAACGAACTCTCAACAGTTGAAGACGAAGGAGTTTAGAGGATTTGCCCGCTATTTTTCGAATATTTTTATATTTGGTCCCCTGTTGCGCCCGCGCCTCGCTCTGGAGAGGTACTTTAAGTAGGGTTATTAAAGTGTATCAAGAATGCATTTAAAATAATGTATTGACATGTATAAGCCTTGTACTGCCATGTACTGCCATGTATTACCATGTATAGCCATGTAATACCATGTATAGCCATATATTGCCATGTATTCCCATGTATTGCCATGTATTGCCATGTATTGCCATGTATAGCCATGTAATGCAATGTATAGCCATGTATTGCCATGTATTACCATGTATTGCCATGTATTACCATGTATACCCATGTATACCCATGTATAGCAATGTATAGCCATGTATTACCATTTATACCCATGTATACCCATGTATTGCCATGTATTACCATGTATAGCCATGTATTACCATCTATACCCATGTATACCCATGTATAGCCACGTATTACCATGTATAGCCATGTATACCCATGTATAGCCATGTATTACTATGTATACCCATGTATTGCCATGTATACCCATGTATAGCCATGTATACCCATGTATAGCCATGTATTACCATGTATACCCATGTATAGCCATGTAATGCCATGTATAGCAATGTATAGCCATGTAATGCCATGTACGGCCATGTATAGGTACGTGTTACCATGTATTGCCATGTATTACTATGTGTTGCCATATACTGCCATTTATTATCGTGTATTACCATGTATTGCCATGTATTACCATTTATCGCCATGTATTACCATGTATAGCGTCGTATTGCCATGTATAACCATGTATTACCATGTACTGCCATGTATAGCCATGTATTGCCATGTATTCCCATGTATTACTATGTATTAGCATGTATCGCCATTGTATTACCATGTGTTGCCATGTATCGCCATGTATTACTGTGTATTTCCATGTATCACGATGTATTACCATGTATTGCCATGTATTACCATGTGTTATTATGTATCACCATGTATTTCCATGTATTACCATGTATCGCCATGTATAGCCATGGATTGCCATGTATTGCTATGTATAGCCATGGGTTGCCATGTATCGCCACGCATTACCATGTGCTGCCATGTATCGCCATGCATTACCATGTATTGCCATGTATTGCTATGCATAGCCATGTATTACCATGTACTGTCATGTATAGGCATGTATTTCCATGTACTGCCATGTTTTACCATGTATTACCATGTATAGCCATGTATTACCATGTATTGCCATGTATTACCATGTATCGCCATGTATTACCAGGTATAGCCACGTTTTGCCATGTATAGCCACGTATTACCATGTATTGCCATGTATTACCATGTATCGCCATTTATTACTATGTATAGCCACGTATTGCCATGTATAGCCATGTACTGCCATGTACTGCCATGTTTTACTATGTATTACCATGTATTGCCATGTATTGCCCTGTTTTACTATGTATTACCATGTATTGCCATGTATTACCTTGTATAGCCATGTTATTCCATGTATTGCTATGTATTGCCATGTATAGCCATGTATAGCCATGTATTACCATGTATAGCCATGTAATGCCATGCATAGCCATTTAATGCCATGTATTGCCATGTATTACCATGTATTGCCATGTTTTGCCATGTATTACTATGTATTACCATGTATCGCCATGTAATACCATTTATAGCCATGTATTGACACGTATTGCCATGTATAACCATGTATTACCATGTACTTCCATGTATATAGCCATGTATTACCATGTATTGCCTTGTCTTTCCATGTATAGCCATGTAAAGCCATGTACTGCCATGTATCGCCATCTATTACCATGTATTGCCATGTATAGCCATGTATGCCCATGTAGTGCCATATATAGCCATATATAGCCATGTATTGCCATGTATTACCATGTACGGCCATGTATAGCGATGTATGTTTCCTTGAAATATTCACTGTTCTTTATGCATGTAGGAATGCCGTTTGAATTGAACACTATTAGAGGGAACGACTAAGGGACTCATTTTTCAACTGAATAATCAATTTATTAATAGAATCTAGGGAAGTATGTTTGAAATGTCCAGACTGTGACGCTGGTCCTTGTGGTGGACTTAACCCTCCCCTCACAGCCATCCTCCCCACCCATTTATTTATGTTTTCAGCGAGTCACTTCCAGTCAGTACAGGAATTGATAGTTCTGCAACGTGCGGAAATATTGATGTTTTCGGAACGCCAACATCGGCAAAAAAAAAAAAAAAAAAAGT